ATTTATATTCTATTATTTCTAACAGAATACTAATCGATCAAATATAATTATTATATATATAATTTTATAGAATATTATTAATATTATATATAGAATAATACACCAACTAACTCATTGAGTGAAAAATTGATTATTTGAGCTTACAACTCGTTCAAAAAGATTGGAAGAACATCAACGACAGTAACGTTCCAGTCAAGACCTCTTCCATAAACTAACTTGCAAGCGAGTGAAGTTGCAATAATAGCCTTCATATGCATTTGTGGCACTCTCTTCATGACTTGTTCCATATGTCTTTCAGCAAGAACTTTTGGGACATAATCCTTAAAGATCTGAAGAAGCTTTTGGTTTTCTGGAGCAAAGAGATCGAGCTTTAAGAAATAAGTGGCGAAGGCATCAGTATACTCGTTGATCTTCAAAGAGACTAAATCACTGACTTGGGTTAATGGCATGTCAGTCTTCTTATTGAATTTCAACATACAGACGGCTTCTTCATTGGCGACTTTCTCGAGTCTAACCAACAAATCTTTTGCATAATCCTTTTTGATGGCAACAAATTGTTGATCATCAAGTGAAAGACCCGCCAAAATTTCATAAGATGATGAAATAACACCACACTTATTAGCAGAGGAGTCTTTGAATATCATCACACCCGCCTTCTCAAGAACAGTACGAGACCCTGGAGTAAGATACAAGTTGGCACCTTCAACTATCAATTTCGATGTTGGCTTCCCATTCTTGAAGTAAGTGTCAACGTTATCTTCATTAAGTGCTCTTGGTCTTCCACCACATGGACAGAACACGTCGGCTTCGACTTGGTGGACATTAGTAGCAAACAAGTGGACGGCTTCCGAAGCTGCTATCCAAGTCTCTTCGACTTTACCATTGACCTTCTTATATAACAAAGTTTCCTTATGATAAGCAGTGACTTCTCTGCTTGTTCCAATCATCAACAAGAATCCACCGTCATGCAATTTCTCTGGTGGATAATCACCAATTGGCTTGACAGAATAGAAGAACGAGTCAAGAGTTTTCAAGTCGAGTCCTTCTGGGTCATAGATGGTTCCAGACTTGTCTGTTATAGCAAGCAACTTGGCTCTGTCCGAGTGATGTTTGTTTAATAATCGAATCAGATTTCCTCCAACATCACCATCAGCTCCACCAGACATTTTAATAGTGTATGGCTTCTCACCAAGACCAATGTGTTCAAGTCCTTGTTTTAGATATTGGAATACGCCCAGAGATGTCACACCATATTCCTTGTGATTGATACCAGTTTCTTCCTTACCAGATATGAAAGCACCTTTGACATGATATCCTTCTTGTGTGGATTCTTTGGCAATCCACTCGATCATACAGTCGTGCATATTCTCATCAGGACCAAGGTATATGAATTCCGGAATACCATAGTAGTCCTTAATATTTGGATTTAACTTGCCATCCTTAGTCACTATGAGTGACAAGAGCGTGATGACAAAACTTCTTTGTCTTTCATACATATACTCAAGAGACATGTCTTTGCAATATTTGACTCGTTGAGCTTCAACTTCCACATCACTCTTCCCTTCAAATTTAAGAGCTTCAGCAACTATCTTTCCTTCTTCTTGGACCTTATTAGGTGGCAAGTAAATAATCTGCTTGGCTCCACCCTCTGGAATGTCTTTGTTCTTCTTTTGTTGTGTGTAAGAGAGGTTGTAACACTCACCAAACATATTAATCTTCTCATACTTCGCTTGTTCGGCATCTCGAGTGATAACAGTTCTCAAACCACCACGAGCAAGATCTCTAAATCTGACATGGAACCCAAAGTGGCTGGTACCATAGTTGAAGAAGATGGCATAAGGCAACTCGGGGTACTTAGACTTTCTGTCGAAGCCCGGGACTTTGTCCATGAACTCTGGGTTCATTCTGAAACCAAGAGAAAGTGTGTTTTTGATGTAATAGTTTGTCTTCAAAGTGCATTCAATAAGAACAATAACAAATCTGAAGATGTTCTTTCTTCTATCGTCGTGTCTCTTTCGACCAGTATCAATATGTTCGATGGCCTTCTTCACCTCTTCAAGCTTTCCTTTGTACTCATCACCCTTCTTTGGGTCAAATTTCATTAAGAAGGACTCAAGAATCAATTTGGTGATATCTACATGGAAGGTCATGGCATCATATATGTTATCGAGTGAATATAATGAAGCATCCTTATCTGAAAGGAATTGCTCCGCCATAGTACAATAAGCTCTCAACAAGAATGCACTCGCGTTCGAGAAGACATGATCATCGACTAATTGTGTAATTGGATCGGCTTCTAAACAGTCTTTCAAACAACTGAACTCTTCGATGAACTCAACTCTCTTGGCTTCGGTCTCGAAGTTTTCTCCAAACATTCTCAGCTTTCCTACAAAGATTGTCTTGGTTGTTACAAAGTCCTTGACAGTGAATTTGGCGGCGTTGATTTTCATCTTGGCATTGAAACAGATTGAAGCGACTCTATACATGAAGTTCTTGATATCAACATTCTTCCATGCAAACAAGAGTGTCCACTCCTCTCCAGTCTTTTCCAATTCGAATTGTAAGTGGTCATCTTCCTCGGCTTTCTTGATAAGAGGAGCGACATTTTCCCTTGAAGTGAATTCAGTCTTTTCTTCAATGAAGGAGACATTGCAGATCTTAAGTTTCTTCGGATAGTTATCGAAGTTGTTCTTCGAGCTCAGGGAGTCATACGAGAAGATCAAAGAGTTCCCGTAATGTTTCAGAATGTCTTTATCAGCGTCTTCAGAGTCCAAGCAGAGGACAATTGAGTTAGTCTTGAACTTCAAGTATATGAACGTTTCATAGAGCTTGTGGTACTTCAAGAGTCCATTGATTGTTTCCAGAGTCACTTGATCTTGCAAGAAAAACGCATTTTCGCAGAAGTTGTCTTTCAACCATTGAGTATAGTCAGTCATTTCGATTTGAACTAGATAGTAAAAGAGTCTTTATATACTCTTGTCACACATTCTAATTCCCTTTGGAGCTTTGAGTCGAAAAGAGATGTCTCGAGAATGGATACCA